TTATATAATGTGATTTGCACATAAATACGATGGTATTTGGGGCTTTATAAGCAGGGACAACAACTTATCTGTCACGGAGGTAGGACAGCAATCTAATTAAAATATAGGTATCGGGTCCGTTCGCGCCCAATACACGTTCGCACCCTACACGTTCGCCCCCTAGGTCCATTCGCACCCTTTTTTTTATTCAAAAACCTGATAAATTTTTAGATGTTTTGTAAAATATTTTTATTTTCATAAATAAAAATTCGGGAATTTTTAAATGAAATATTGTTTTAAATTGATTTGATGATGAATTATTAAATGCTAATTATGTATGATTACTGCTAATTGGTATTTATACGCAGCCTAATATGATGTTATTGTTGAGTGTTTAAAAATCATGATTGTTGTCATGGTTGTTTTAACTTGCTTTAAATGTAAATACTGCATGTATTTAGCTTGGTATGAGTAAAACTTTGAAGATTTTTAATAAAAAACATGAAAGATAATTGTTTTTAACAGCTTGGCTCCTTTGATCTCATGTGTGTCAGAATCTCACTTTATTCATAAACAATGAAAAAAAATATTTATAGCAATACACTATCCAAAACATGATTACGAATTATTCAACACATAAAAAAAAAGTTGTCAGAATCCCATTTCCTTTTGAAACAATAAAAAAGAAATATTTATAGCAATACACTAACCAAAACATGATTAAGATTTTATCAACACCTAAAAAAACGTTGTCAGTATCTCACTTTATTTAGAAACAATGAAAAAAAATAATTTATATATATATATATATATATAGATATATAGAGAGCAATACACTTACCTAAACATGATTAAAAATTATTCAACACAAAAATTAAATACTGGTCGTCAGAATCTCACTTTATTTAAAAACAATGAAAAAAAAATGTTTATAGCAATACATTTACCATGACACAAAAAAAAACCTTGTCAGAATCTCACTTTATTTAGAAACAATGAAAAAATATATATTTATAGCAATACACTTACCAAAACTCGTTTACAAATTATTAAACACAAAACCAATAAAAATTGGGCGCGAACGTGTAGGGTGCGAACGGACTTTGGGTGCGAACGTGTAGGGTGCGAAAGTGAAAGGGGGCGAACGTGCATGGGGGCGAACGTGATTGGGCGCGAACGGACCCGGATTCTAAAATATAGAACTCTGATTTCGTTATCTCCATAAGATATTTTTGATACCGTCGGTACCTTTCAATTAACCTCATTCAAGTTTATGTTCCGCGTGCACTGTTCACTTTCGATTACTCGAATTCTGATAGGTTGAAAAGCCACAAGCGAAATCCTTCAGAAGTGAAACCAATTACGCATCGGTAGTAGCTCTCTTATGGAGATAACGAAATTAGAGTTCTATATTTTATTTAGTTTGGTAGGACAGGAACTTAACTACATTTGGGTCTTTATAGATGTGTATTCATAGATCCATTCAGTTTTTTGTCTCGCGACGGAGTCGAAAAATCGAGACTTTTGCGTGGTGCTTCCGGTGGCGGCGGCGGCGTCAGCAATGTATTAGTTTGTGATTAGGTCAGTTAATGGCCAACCACTAGTGGTAGGTCATTGGTATTATGTATGCAGTTGAACTAGCATTGGCAAATCTCATTTCCATAGAGATTATTTTGCCCCGCCCCGTCAGTCATGGTCTACTGACTTTGAAACTTTTGGTGTATTTACATGTTAAAGTTCGTGATTAAGTCAGTTTAAGGGGAACCATTAGTGGTCGGACAGTGATATTTGGTATGAAGTTGTATAAGCATTGGCTCGTCTCATTTCCATGGAGATTATTTACATAGTTTACAAGTAAAAGTTGTTGTATAGGTTAATTTAAAGGGAACCAATGGTATTTGGTATGCAGTTTTATAAGCATGTGCATTTCTCATTTCCATTAAGGTTATTTGGCTCTGCACCTTCAGCGATGGTTCATGGACTTTGAATGATTTGTATATTTTACATGTTTAAATATTGCCATTTTAATTTCAACATTTGTATTATACTTTCAAAATAACAAAACGCGAGACATATCCCTATGTCAGCAGTTTATTTTAATTCTAATTTGTATCCACGTCCTTACAGCTTTAACCCTTTCGGAAAAAATATCTACGTCTTCTTTTTCTTTTTTATATTATCCTCCACTGAATCTTTCAGTATTTTGAAGTTATGTTTCTAATTGATGGGTTTGGGCTCACGATATTTCGGGCCTCTGGATAACAAATTTCGCAGAGAGGGGTTATTGACAATGCTCAGGTCACCAGTTATAACGTGGACAGCCGGGTTACATATGAATGGGTAACTAGTAAAGGTTCAATAGGTCGGTTTAGACTTGAAGTCGTCAATATTGAGATTCTGCTACACGTTTTTGTAATTGAAAATTTTAGTCGCTGTGGTTTGGTATAGGTATAAATATTAGCAGAGACATATATACACATGTGTATATATGTCTCTGATATTAGCAAACTGATCTTAAAAATTAGGGAGTATTTTCGAACGAACTGATTTATGAAGTATATTGCCAATTTGATAAGGTCTGTTCTATCTTCCTTTGGAATTTCAACCAAAGATGAAGAACTGGATCTTCCTTCACTGTATTGGATACCTAACTACATAAGTGTCCTTACAATTCGAGGATTATGCCAGGCAATGGGTTAAACGCGAGAAGGAAGACGTAGATACACTTTCCGATTTGATTAAGGCTGTGAGGTCGTTGATATAAATCAGAATTAAAAATCTGAATGGGTCTTTGAATATCTATGCTACATAAATCTTTTAAAACCCAAATGTTGTAAAACACCTGTCCCACCTCCATGACAAATATGTTGTTGTCCTCGCAGATAAAGCCCCTAACAACATCGTTTTTGTATGTAAATCACATTACATAAACTGCTTGATAAATGAATTAGGTATTGACTATTCACATGGAAACTCAACATATACCCCCGAAACTTACCAAGAAGGAAATCCTTGATAATCATAGGTCTGTTATATGTTCCTTTCGAATTTCAACCAAAGATGAAGAACTGGATCTTCCTTCACTGTATTGGATACCTAAACTACATAAGTGTTCTTACAAACAACTTTATATTGCTGGGTCTTCCAAGTGCTCCACGAAACCTCCTTCTAAATTATTAACATCAATTTTATCAGCAATCAAATCGAGATAGTCTTTTACTGATGTTCAAATCTCGTAAATCGATAAAGAAGAGACAAACGAAGGTTACAAACAACACCTACACATCTTATCGGTCAACCAATTTGTGATGATGACGGTAAAACCTGTGTAGTGTCGATTTATGTCATTCTTTCTCTTAAATCTGTCGGAGAAGTTTTCGTGTAAGGAGCACAACCTTGTTAACGTAGTCCGTATTGTATTAACATTCACGAGAGTAACGTATCATCTGAGATATGTAAACAAAAACGACACAACGGTCGTATTATCCTGCGGATAAAAGGGAAGTTAACAATTGGAAAGTTAAAATCATCAAGTTTGACATAGATTCTAGTTTGAAGTCGTACCCCTGTGTCACATATCAAGGAATGGATCAGTATATGAAGCAGATCTTTTACTTTCGGCAGTATCCTTAATATCAAGTTCACTGGGATATATGAGATGTAAGCACTCAGTTAAATGTGGGTAATTCAGCGACAGGACATCACCAATATATCTAAAAGCGAATTAAAGTTTTTTGCAAGATGCCTTTCTTTTTTTCTTTGAGAAGGTTTTGTAAGAATTTAACTTAAGATGAGCACAGAAACAAATCGGCCAGTAGTTGTGCACAATAAGTACCATTGGAATACCGTGCTTTGGCTGAAATATTAATCCACTAAACTCAACAAATATGTTGTCGATCAAAACGGCCACCATTTTGTCGATACCATCTTCGGCGTATTTGTTGTGGGAATCAGTGTGGGTTTTAAAAAAAGTAATCATGCCAGCGCTTTCATCGTTACAATTTTTGAAGGAAGCTTTCATTTTTTTTTATGAAAAAGTAAAATTAAAAATTTCTGTATCGTATTCCTGCCAAGTGCTTAAAACCATTATATTTGCTTGTATTTGGAAGTTTGAAGATAGTTTATGTTGAATAATATCTATTGAAGTGTTTTTACAGAGGCAAGAAATAAGTTTTGACTTAAGTTGGCTATTGGCAACTATATATCATTATCTATATAAAATAATAAAAGAATTCACGCCAATTAAGGTAAACATTATTTCTAATACTCTTAACAGCATCCGAAAAGTATTTCAAGCCCATGTAAAGAAACGTATGTATCAAATAGTTTAACGAAATAAAAAGAGGCATTTTGATACAAAATTGCTAATTTTTCTACTTGTTTTTGTCTCTACGTCGCCTACCGAAATAAATTCATTTGTATCAGAAAAAACAATAAATAGCTTTACTTCCAACAGGTTTTTTGATTTTGGTTAACGATGATGTTCCTCTTGTACATTTTTGGGATAAATATTCAAAATCTGTCAAAATTGCGGTTTTGTGCTATCTTCAGACGTTTAAAATTTGGTGACTTAATTAGAAATAAGCCATTATATTATTAAAACCTTAAACTGCAATCTTAGGGTTGTAATACTTCTAATTCAAGTATGTATTGAAAGACTTTTTGAAAATGGTCCTGGTGTGAATAAATTAAAGGGAAACTTGACTACCACTTTGGAAGTAATCTGGACCAATTTTATACTGTCATCAGTAAATAACAAATGCGCCAACAGCATACTGTTAAAGACTAGATCAGAAAACACTATCTTACCTGATATTCATTATTAATTGTGAGATAAGTATCTAGGCTGTAGGTTTCCGACAAAGAACAATATGAATGAAATAGCAAATCAAACCATTTCATTCGTATATGTTTAGTAATTTATTTTTCAGGGATTTTCAGTGGACACAACTATTCATATATCGACAAGAAAAAAAAAAAACATACACCAAATTTGCTATTGTTTATTTTCTATTTTCTATATACAATATAACATTCATTCAAGGCTTGTGGTCGATGTTGAATGCACACATTCTTATATTATTGGTGCTAGGGGCGAATCCAGATTGAAATGGTGCTGGGGGTAAGGGAGCCCAGTTCCTCTTACAAGAGGTATTTTTGATACATTTTTTTTTCTGATTTTTGACTGCCCAATCCTTTGAAAAACCTGGATCCGCCCCTTGGTTGACACACTGAGATCGGTATTATACATCATGAATGAAAACGTCAATAAACTATAAGTTACAGCAAAAGAAGGTTATTGCACAAAAAAAAATTGCATTAACCTGCCACATATATTAATGTCCTGTTCCACAAGTCAGGAACCTCGTGAATGGTTGTCTTTGTTTATATCTGACTGTTTATTGTCCCTTATATAAATTGTGTTTGATGGCAGATTTGATACAATCTCTTTTTCAGTCTTTTTACAAGATGTTTTAATATCAGTACATTTAGATTTTGACATATTATGGTGAAGACCGTTATCAATTGTTGAAAACCATATACGTTAACCTGTACATATCTTCTTTGGTAAAGTTGTGTTATGTGGGTTGCTGTTTCGTTGATGTTTACGTTGAATCTCCTTTTATTCACATTTATATTTTATGAATATCTGCAGAATCATTTCGCTTCAGTGTCATGTAATATTAAAAACAAGTTATATTTTTAATTTGACCGAACCACTACAATATAAATGTAAACGTTTCAATGTTATGACGCAATGCCTCAGACAGAAGATGGATTCTGAACTACAAAGTGAAATAAAGTATTGCACATGAGAACAACAATAGACTACCAGCTGCATTGTTCCTGTTAGAACTACCTCTTTGTCTACTAGTTGAGGGGCAAATTTCTCCTACGGAATCATCGGTATCTGACAAGTGTCTTATAATCTCGCTGGTCACATCTGTCCAGTATATGTTGTCTTTAACAACAATCGTAGCTCTGTTGAAAGAAGGAAAGTGGCAAACATTATAATGGCAATCTTGATGAAAAAAAACTTGCACAAAGTGATTTTCGAGCTTACCTAACATCGAGTTATAGCAAATATTATACAGGTGGCTTATTTTCACATCTACATTAGGGGATGAGTATTTCATTTTTATTTTGGGGTGGGATGGAGGATTTGGGGTAATACGTTTTATAGCCTGGTGAGAAGTTCGAGAACTGAAAATAATAATCTTGCCCAATACGGTATCGAAATGAATATTTCACCACAAAATGCAGGAAATAGTTGTGCACAATTAATTTTTTGAGCGGCTCTGCAGCGCTTTATATATAAGACGGTCTAATGACAGGTGAAAATGAATATCCCGTTCGTGAAAAAATCCTCCTGCCCCCTCCTTTCCACCAGAAAATTAATTGTCGTCCCCTTATGTCCTCTTTGATTTGTGATTAAAATTGCACCCTTTTATATTCTTTCTTTATATTTTTCACCTGAGCAAGAAAGGACTTATAAGAAAGAAATTTGCAAAAGGATATGCTGAAATTGACATAACAGTAATCGGAAAGTCAGGCACGTTTATCGCATATCTATCTATCATGTGACAGTGTTTGAATATTGTGCAATGTCAACCAGACAACTATTGAAAAAAAAAATCAAAATTCATTCGATACTTGAAATGTCTAAGAAATCATATATTCATCATATTTGAAATTAAAAATAACAAAATTAATCTCTTTTATTTAATTCTCAGAAAATTTCTTTTTAAATGTATATCATAACTTACATAAAATATACTCGTCCAAAGTCTTTGTTATTGCTACTCCAATGAACTTCTATATTTCTTTCTATTGGTATCCATGCCCGATTTACAACGGTGTCCTAGTGTTGTAATTAAAATATTAGATAATAACCTATGCCAACAATTATTTAAGATAATATTTATACCGATTTTTTCTTCTTCTCATCTTTACCCTACCAAGCTTTAGCCATTAATATGAAAAACAAAGTTAGATTGTGCAAAATATTTAAAGAAAAAAAAGGAACATTTCAATGAACGTATTTTTTTGTGAAATTCTAACTAACAACAAAAAATTTCATCTAAGATACCAAGTTGGGTTTGTCTACATAAGACCCATCAGTAAAATATGTCATATGTAATTTGTGCATTTGAATGGATAAGTGTTTTCTTTCTCTGACATGCTCATTTGAAAATGGAATCATTCAAAAAGCAACAAAATATTTACTTACGTCTGCCCTTGAACAGTTGAAGAGTTGCAATAGTTTTTCCCCTGCTAGGTTAAATTTTCCTACTGGTTTTTTCTGATTTACTACATCACACTGGGCCCTCCTTGCTTGAAGTATTAATCCTTTTATTGGAATATCGTCACGTCTTTCTATGGTAACTAAAAAGATCAATACAAAAACTTTTAGCTAGTTTTTAGTAACTAGTATTACTTTTATATGGTAATAATTTAATTTTGGATGTAACACGTCTTCTGATTGGCTGAAAGGTTTATGTCTATCAGCTCATAGACATAATTTTGTCATGGGACCGTGACGTCATCAACGTTTTTTCGTGATTTACTCCTTAAAATGGAATTCAGAAATAAATTATAAGGAATGACTGTAATATTTTTTTTGTCTATTCGAAATAACCTCAAAAATGTGGTGCACACTTTTAAATAATACCCTACGCGGGTTATTCAGTGTGCACCACATTTTTGATGTTATTTCTTCATAGACAGAAAAAATATTACAGTCATTCCTTAATTATTTATCATTGCTTTGTTTTGTTTGTGTTTGTGCTTGTGTTTTGTTATCTTCCATACCAATATTATAGAGAAAAGAGTTTTCCTTATACTGTTTATCGTTCATACCAATATTATAGAGTAAAGAGCTTTCCTTATTTTGATTATCGTCCATATCCTGATTATCGTCCATACCAATATTATAGAGTAAAGAGCTTTCCATATCCTGATTATTGTCCATACCAATATTATAGAGTAAAGAGCTTTCCTTATACTGATTATCGTCCATACCAATATTATAGAGCAAAGAGCTTTCCTTATACTGATTATTGTCCATACCAATATTATAGAGAGAAGAGCTTTCCTTATTTTGATTATCGTCCATATCCTGATTATCGTCCATACCAATGTTATAGACTAAAGAGCTTTCCTAATCAAGTTTGGTTATCGTCCATATCCTGATTATCGTCCATACCAATATTATAGAGTAAAGAGCTTTCCATATCCTGAGTATTGTCCATACCAATATTATAGAGTAAAGAGCTTTCCTTATACTGATTATCGTCCATACCAATATTATAGAGTAAAGAGCTTTCCTTATACTGATTATTGTCCATACCAATATTACAGAGAGAAGAGCTTTCCTTATTTTGATTATCGTCCATATCCTGATTATCGTCCATACCAATGTTATAGACTAAAGAGCTTTCCTAATCAAGTTTGGTTATCGTCCATTTACTGATTATCGTCCATACCAATATTATAGAGTAGGGAGCTTTCCTTATTTTGATTATCGTCCATATACTGATTATCGTCCATACCAATGTTATAGAATAAAGAGCTTTCCGCATACTGATTATTGTCCATACCGATATTAAAGAGTAAAGAGCTTTTCTTATACTGATTATCGTCCATTCCAATATTATGGAGTAAAGAGCTTTCCTTATTTTGATTATCGTCCATATACTGATTATCGTCCATACCAAGAGCTTTCCTAATCAAGTTTGCTTATCGTCCATTTACTGATTATCGTCCATACCAATGTTATAGAATAAAGAGCTTTCCGTATACTGATTATTGTCTATACCAATATTATAGAGTAAAGAGCTTTCCTTATACTGATTATCGTCCATACCAATATTATGGAGTAAAGAGCTTCCCTTATTTTGATTATCGTCCATACTAATGTTATAGAATAAAGAGTTTTCCGTATACTGATTATCGTCCATACCAATGTTATAGAGTACAGAGCTTTCCTTATACTGATTATCGCCCATACCAATATTATAGAGTAAAGAGCTTTCCTTATTTTGATTATCATCCATACCAATATTAAAGTATTAAGGGTTTTCTTTATGCGGATTTTCTTCCATACCAATATTAAATAATAAAGATCTTTTCTTATATTGATTTTTATTATGTTCTTTGTTCTTTGTTTAACGCCGTCACAATTACATATGCATGTAAAATATCGCCAGTGGTTGTCTAAAGCCACATCTAAATTATTTTTGTTGTTAGGAGCATTAGGTGTTGATGGCAGATCTTTGATAGTCTGTATAATGTATCCACAGTTTTTCATAGGTGCGTTTGGACAGGACCCTGTGTTGAGCCCATAGTCTTCCTCTCGCTTCATATAAAAAATCTCTGATTTCCAATAAATATCAGTTATTTGTACCATATGTATAATAATATATCATATTTATACACATAATATACATGTTTGCTATCAATGCGCCACTCGACCATAGAGCGAAGATATAGTGTAACATTGATAGTTCCTTGCATATTTTTTTTATATTTTAATTCCTGGATAAGTTATTCTTTAATTCTTTATGCACACGAAACGTTTATTATCGTAGAACGCAAAGCGTCCGTATCAAAATCAAGTCAAATTTGTAACAAAACAATTTTTTTTATTAAGGAATGACTGTAATATTTGTTCTGTCTATGAAGAAATAACATCAAAAATGTGGTGCACACTGAATAACCCGCGTAGCGGGTTATTTTAAAGTGTGCACCACATTTTTTATGTTATTTCGAATAGACAGTAAAAATATTACAGTCATTTCTTATAATTTAATTCTAAATTCCATTTTAAACCAGAGAAAACCATGAAAAAACGTTGATGACGTCACGGTCACATGACAAAATTATGTCTATGAGCTGATAAACAAAACAAAATTAAATTATTAAAAGATAAACACAACGTCAGCAGTTGAAATATTTAAAAAAATCATTGTAACAATCAATCTGTAATATGCAATATTTATAGAATGTACTCAAATGTTTCGATGCTCTTTTAAAAACCTAACACTCCTAGGTAAGACTATATAACACAGTTTCTATGTTCATAGGTAGGTGTTATGTTAATTGCATTTTTTGTTTGATAATGAAAGACATTCATCTTTGTGCATTAATGAACCTCTGAACTGAATCTAAAAATAAAAAAAATACTTAGTTTAGACCGAGGTAATTAATCAGAGGTATCTGCTCATATTTATTTCAAAATTCTATCATTTAGTTTTCTTTCTCATCAAACATAGGCATACAATAATATGATATAGGAGACTTTTGCACAGTATGTATCTTCAAAACAAGCACGGGACCAGTCCTTTCTTATGTATATTTGAAAATAGCACGATATGAAGCGAATATTGGCAATGTATATTTACAACCATTTTTACCACTTTTATAACCAGTGATTACGACTCTGCGGTAGTAATAAACTAGTGATTTGAATGTGTCTAGTACACCCCCCTCCCCCTCTTCGAGCAAACACAATACAATGGCCATCTCTTTTTCAGGAATATTTTTATTGGGTTTGTTTTAATTTGCTCAATGTAAAATATTATTCTATTCAAGAGAATAGAAAAAAAAAATATCAGTACAATAAAACAATTCATTGTCAAACTTGTGCATTTAGCGATTCTTTAAAAAGAATCCTCCAGGAAGCAAGAATTTTATTTTATATTATGTGTATTATAAAACAAATCAAAACACGACCTCCTCTCGTCAGCTCTCCAACCAACTATAGCAAAAGCTTTGGTTTAGTCATATCAATATTGTTTACAAACAATTTCATAAATAATGTCACGGAGGCCTTAAAGCTATGACATAACAAAAATTCTGAAGTGTATCTAAACATACATTACTCAACTTACATTTTTACTAAAGAGTCATTATATTGTTATACTACAAAAAAGGACATATATGAAATAATTATAATAATAGTAATAGTAATGATACTAATACTACTACTTCTACTTCTACAACTACTAAAATACTAATATTTAAAATAATAAAATAGCAATAATACCTTTTACAGCAGTCTGCTGATATATGTTATCGGTGACTTTAATTTTGAATGGGCGATTAGTCATCTTCTGTGGACTAGATTGAAAGTACGATGGCATCATGTCTATACACTCCTGTTTTGTAGGTTGCTCAAAAGGGTACGCTGCACCAACAACAGATTCCACAAAAACACAAAGAACAGCTATGATCTAAAATGTGAATGTATGGTTACAAGTAGTTCTTTAATATTATAACAATGGAATGATTTAGTTGTTGTTGAGATCCACTGGACGTAATGCAAACAACAATCAATCGTTGTTGTCAGAGATAAAACAAAGTTATTTCATTCGGCTTTTAAAAATTCAGAATGAATTTATAAATTTTACCGTCGTGTTTTCTCTCATAATTGTATTTCTATATATACAAACAAGAATAATATGCATTAAAGCTTTCTGGAGAAGTGTTCAGTGTCAGAACCCGAAAACTTCAATTTTCGTATAGATTGATGCTGTGACGTTGCTTATAATGGACTTATATGAAAGTATGCACTGTTCTTGACACATATCATTTCTGAAATGTAAATTGTGGTTTTATAATGGTAAAGGAAATAGAAAATAATTTTAAAAAAAATATTAATAACTTACCGTTGGAAAGATGATCGTTTCCATTTTACCACAAATTATAGTCAAAACTTATTTCAGTGAAAGAAAAAAGTCGTTCCCAGCGGCTCAAAGCTTACACCTAACATTAATAACAGTGCAAGTTGTAATCTTTCTTATAGCCAATAGCTAAGCATTACAAGTAAACGATAATTCTTTTGGCAAATTACAATTTGTTTCTTAATTTATTTATAATGCTGGTCTTTTTTCATACACTCCAGTCGCTAAAAGGTCAAATATTTTGTGTTTTTTATCGTTTTATCAGATCGTACCAGTTACATGTTATGATTGAAGAGTAAAGGATACAAGAAACTAGAATAACAATAAAATTTGTTTGGAAACATTCATCATGTGTACATATACCCTGCATGCCTTATTTTTACATCAACTTTATATGTGACGTTTGTATATCTGTTGAAACTTTAAAACGAATTCTTTTGCAAAAATAAAGAAAAGAGATCTCATTTCTCAATATTATATTTTGATTGAAATTAAATCAGTATTATTGTGTGTACCTTACCTTGGATGAAGGCGACATGGTCATTATAGATCATTATTTTTTATGTAAAGTATTAAATGTTTGCTTATTTATACAATACTGGGGCTATGTGTCATCATCATTTTTCATTTAAGGAGTGGACTTGACTTATTAATAGGAAATGATAAAGGTTATGTATATTTGCTAGATTTAAAGATAA